GCCGACTCATAGAGGTCCTCACTATCGGAGTCCATCGGCAGCTCCAACGGCTCCTGCTGGGCCCCAACAGTGACCATTGCAACACCACTGAAGAAAGTGACTTAGGATCATTTTTCACACTTACGACCATTGCCGTGTCCCCATCGTCCCATGGTCAAAATTCAGATGCTTCACTTAGGGAACTGACTCCTATTTATGACGGTTGCAGTGTCCCGGGGTGATGTGATTCCCCTTTTGTGAGCTTACGACAAGCCAAGTCCAAGGGGAAACCAGGTTCACTTAACAACCATGTTACTGATTGAACAACGCCACTGATTCACTTAATAACTCGAGAAAGAAAAACCATGAAATCAGGTCAAACACACCTAACACTGAAGAGAGAGATTTATCAAACCTCTGTGCCAGTAGAAATCCCTACATGCGTCCCTGAGGCTTTTTTGTTTTTTAACAGGAGACCACTAGAAAACTCAGTTTGATCTGTAAACCAAACTGGAAAGAAGAAAAATAATTCATGGAGTTGCTCTCAACATCGAGATAAAAGAGCATATAAGGGTTGGGAAATCAAACCTCTCAGTCCGATGGGCAATTTTCTACATTTGATGTACAAATAAATAGAAGTAAATATAAATCCAGATATCAGATCAAATCAGGAGGAAGGCAAGCTATATGAGGAGAAGGGCCAATTATATCTATCCACATAGAACAAGAAAAGGGTGGATTTCCCTCCCGTATCCCAAATCAAAACAACCAGGCAACGACTGGAATTCATTTATTTATTGTTTTCTCTTTCCATTGTTCCGTTTTCTTCCAAAACACAAGGCTGCTGATTACATTCCTGCCTGCTTAATCAGTTTTCATTTAGGGAATTAGAGAAACAGATGCCTAGCATCCAAGAGCTTCCCGATCAGCTGGATATACAGGCCAAGAAAAGGGGGACAACTTCTTGGGTGGAAGGAAGAGCTTTAGAAGAGAAGCTTCATCAGGAGGAGCCCAAGGAAGGCTAGGAAGAAGGATGCAAAGGAGGGAGGGGCTTCGCAGATAACGTCTTTAACAACAGCCCCAAATTGAAAACTAGGAATAGTATATGACATATTTGGTAGTGGGCAGGGTACAATCTTCCCTTTCTGTTCTTGTAGTTTCCTGCACTCATCTTTCCGGCTACAGCTTTTCAAGATGGTTCCGTTTTTCGCCGCTGGAGGAAGAGAGAAATAGCAAGAGCATTTAGACTTATATACTGTTTCACGGTGCTTCCCAGCTCTCTCTAAGCAGTTTACAGAGTCAGCCTCTTGCTCCTCAACAATCTGCGTCCTCATTTGACCCACCTCGGAAGGATGGAAGGCTGAGTCAACCGTGAGTCTGGTGAGATTCGACCTGCCAAATTGCAGAACTGCCGGCAGGCAGCAGAAGAAGCCTGCAGTACTGCACTCTCTGGTATTGGACCTGGGTACTTGAGAGACTGCCTGCTGCCAATTACCTCCCAAAGACCCATTAGATCGCACAGGGTCAGCCTCCTCCGGGTTCCGTCTACCAGCCAATGCCATCTGGCTACCACCCGGGCAAGGGCCTTCTCTGTAGCAGCTCCGGCCCTTTGGAATGAATTCCCCACGGAGATTCGGACCTTCACCCCTCTCCAGGCCTTCCAAAAAGCCATTAAAACCTGGCTGTG